TGTCACTGGCTTACCATTTTTGGATCATGGTAACACACGTACCCTGTCTTGACTGGACTCGAATTGAATGACTTGGGTTCAGGCATGGATGAGGTTCAGGGTTCAAGTTCTTGTCCTATCACCTCATGCAGATGACTTGAATCCACATCCCAGTTAAGTAACTGACCTGAATATTTGTTAATACTTACACAATACAGTTATTTTTTTTTTGCAGTGCAAATAACTTAGAGATTTCCTGACTTGTTTTTGTTGCCTTATTTTAAAGTATTACCTTTTAATGCCTATCATTTGTTTTGAGAAAGTTTGAAGCATTTGTTTGATGATTCCCTGAATTCGGTACCTAGTCGGTATTTCACCCTATTTCTGAAAATCGGTTCGGTTTTGGTATACTCTCAGTGGTTTTGGTCGGTATCGGTTTGGTATTGGTTTCCAAAATTTCTGAAATTGACATCACTAATAGTGACTCTGAGCGCACCGGCCAAGTTGCCCCGCTAGTCCCGGCCAAATAACCCCACATTGCCATTCTGAAAATTTTTGTCTATAAAGTCGTCATGGCTGTACAAAATTAGATGAAATTGCTCTTGGAACCGCTGAACACCCTAAAGAATGGGGCTATAATGTTGGAATTCGTTTACAGCCCAACTACTACATGTTATACAAATTTTTAAACTGAAGTAAAAGTTACCATTTTCTAACGAAATTCACGTTTTATTAATTTTGAATAAAACTAAGAGGGGGAAAGTTTTGACATTTGTTCTCGAGTTAGTTCTGCCGATGACAAATGAATAGAGACTAAAGTTATTTCATTCACTTTTATCAGCTTTCGTATAGGTGGGGGCAGCCAATTTACACCACCGGCCAAATTACCCCACTCTCCCCTACCGGCAATATTATGAAACGTATTTTTTTTATTTGCGTCCAGCTTATCTCGCCGAATGTGTCAATGATTATGAATGTTGCCTGAATGAATGAATGAATGAATGAATGAATGAATGATTGAATGAATGAATGAATGAATGAATGAATGAATAAATGAAGGTAGAATAACGATGAATGTTACCGATTGCCGTGAATGCGCATTTACGGCATTTGCTAAGATTGTGGGCCTGCAGGATTCGTGGCGACAACGATGAAGATCAGCTTAGATCGCACGAAGACAAAAAAGCTCTTCCCATAAACAATACGAGCTGGGTCCGGATGATTATGACAGGAAGATCTAACTCGTCAACCAGTCTACCGCTTACAGCTTGTTGCTCACTAGGCATTTCTGACAGCCGAACGACAAGTAGTAACATCGCTGTAACTTACTTACAGCACCACCCACCACCGCCCGAATATTTCATTTACCATTCAATATACGGCGCCCACATTACCGCTCATACACTGGCAATGGACATCTGCATATAAGGAGCAGCGCCGCTACTCTGCCTCGGCATCGAGCCATGAATAATGGATAACGTGTCTGTCGGCAGGTCTGGCCACTCCCAGTAGGGGAGAGTGGGGAAAGATGCCCAGGGTTTTACTATGTCATAAATTATTCGAAAATGACGATCGGGAAGCAAAAACTTGTAGTTTCAACGGAAGCCGACATCATTTTTCTCCAAAAATATCACACTTTCGTGCTTGAAATATGATAACTTTTTTTGCTACTAAGCATTTTCCTGAAGAAGTGAAAGTGGGCATCTTACCCCACAGGGTGGGAAAGACGCCCCCTGGCGTTGGGTAAGATGCCCCCTGCACTGTAAGTGACATAAATGGACACGTGAATCGCCTGAACGAATCAGTAGTCCCTTCGAGCCTGCAGTAGACACCAAACGTCATCGTAAGGGCCCTCAAAAGTAGTCGTAAGGGGCTTCAGAGGTCATCGTTAGGGCCATCATAGTCCAGCGCGGCCAAACAAGCCTCCGTGGTGGCGTTCGGAGACCACTGTGGGGCCCTTATAGGTCTTCATGATGCTTGAGGGCCCTCGAGCCCATCGTGGGGACCTCAGATGCCAGCGCGGCCCGTGGAGCCAACGTGGGAGCCCTCAAAGGATGTCGTGAGGGGCCCTAGAGCCAATAATGTGGCCCACAGAGGCCGTCGTAAGGGCTCTCAGAGTCAGATGCCGCCCAAAAAGTCGCTGTGTGGGCCGAGAGACCGGCATGGGGAGCACCCGACCGTACTGGACTCTCAATAGTCCCAGATCAGCTTTTGTCTCTCATCACAGGTATGTAATAAATGATTTGACGGGCTGCTTGAAGGACAGCCTACGGATTTAGGGGGGCGTCTTTCCCCATCAGGACAGGGGGCATCTTACCCCAAGGTACCGAGGTAACATTAAATCAGTACAATTTGTTAGCCATAAAACTACACCCTGAAACAAACTGTTTGGGACACAGTACACGCATGTTAATTTATCACGACTATAGCAAGGGACGCAAAAATTATCTACCTTCTTTGATATTTACAATGTTTTGACACCAAAATATTTTTTGAAAGCAGCAAATAAAAAACATGCAATCACCAGCCAGCCGTTGCCCAACTGAGCCTCGCAAATTTGTGTGCAGTTAACAAGGCAGGCTTCCGCTTTACGCTAAGAACATTAATTTCCAGGTTCGATTCTTTGTTTGGCCGCTAGAGGGGGTGGGGCGTCTTTCCCACCCTGGGCATCTTACCCCACTCTCCCCTACCAATGACGTGCCGGGATGCGGCGCAAGACGTGACATGATGGGCGGCCACCCGCGGGGAAGGGGCGACCGAGAAGGGACGTGGAACAGCTGTCCCGTGGGTGGAGGGGTAGATGTTGAGGAATTAGTGATTCTTGGTACGGTGAGAATGATATAAATATCATACCCTGGTCCAAAAGAAGAGGGGGCCAAGGGCATAGGTGCCAAGGGCATACCCTGCTGGGGCCAAGGGCATAGGTGTAGGAACAGGGGGGCCGGGGGGCATGGGCCCCCACTTTTCAGCCATTTTAAAGTAAAATCTTTATTTTTGTTTAAATACAAAACTAAGAGCAGGAAATGGTTCAGCAAGGTGAGATGAGCACAAAACTGCAAAGAATTTCTTCATAGAGGTATCGGGACTCCCAGAAAGTAACAATGCAGCTTCGCTGCCCCCCCCCCCCCACACACACACTTTTCGTGAGGTTCCTACGCCCATGGCTGAGGGGGTCCAAAGGTGGAGGGAAACAGCCGGGGATTAGGACTGAATGGCAGCTGAAGGGGTAAGACCAGTGGGAAAAGAGAGGACTCTTGAGGGAACGGATAACCATGTAGCTAAAGGCGGTGGCCTGGTGGGCCGCTGGTGTGATGGTAAGTGTGGTCCATAGGTTGACTCATTTTGTTAATCTCGGCGGTGTCATGCTCTGTAACTTAGTTTATTTAGTGGAGATGTGCCCTGATTTTAGCGTTACGCTTTTGCATCAATCCTACTTGTTTCACTTTTGTACTTATTTTGTATTTTTGAAAATAAATGAGATGAGATGAGGTGAGGTAGAAAGGTTCATGGTGAGAGAGGTGGCGCATTGTAAATAGAGGAGACGTATGCGAGTGAAGAAGGCTATTCGTGTGTAAGGGATGGCCAATGTGGTAGTTGATATGTTCAACATCCTAAATGATGAACAGCTCATTTAACAAGCTTTATTAGTCGAGTGCAGAGAATAAAAGTCGCTACCATTACATCTTCAACACATCCAAACCAAGAATGGGCCTATCACGTCGACTCATCAAAAATTTCCCAGGGCTGCCCCATCCGGTCTTCATGCGTCGACACCTTTCATGTCTCGTTTCTCAGTCACAGTCCCACTTAGTAGGCCGGGGCGTCTCAGCTGTGTCGCAGTGACCTTTCTCACGTCTGTCCATCTGAGGTCGAGTCTGGTCAGCCCTCGCGGATCGACCAGGTGCCGCTCCCTAGGGATATATCTCGGTCAGCCGCCGCCGCAGACGCCGCCGACGCCGCCATACTCTATACAGCCACCGGCATCGCAAACCACAGTCGCCTCAGACGCCGTCGGCATCAATAGCAGCGCCATCGCCATTGGCGGCGGCGCCATTACCATCGCTCAGATTGGCACACTCGCTATACTTTCACTCGGCTGGTCATCTATTCTCACGCGTCTACCGTCTGGTAATAGCGTCATTATTCTACAGGCGTCAGCCTTAATCCGTCGTGACAAACACACTGCGATTATATGGCTTAAATCGTCATCAGCGACGCACGTGCTGGCGACGGAGGATTTTTGCCGAGCTCCGGCCGGCAGCAGTGCAACAGCTACGACGGCAATATAGAAGTTGGTCGGCCCACCGGGCGATAGAGAGAGAGAGAGAGAGAGAGAGAGAGAGAGAGAGAGAGAGAGGGAGAGAAAGAAAGAGAGAGAGAGGGAGAGGGAGAGGCAGAAAGAGAGAGAGAGGGAGAGAGAGAGAGAGGGAGAGAGAGAGAGGCAGAGAGAGAGAGAGAGAGACAGAGAGAGAGAGAGAGAGGGAGAGGGAGAGACAGAAAGAGAGAGAGGCAGAGAGAGAGAGAGAGAGAGAGAGAGAGAGAGAGAGAGAGAGAGAGAGAGAGAGAGAGAGAGGGAGGGACAGACAGACAGACAGACTGACAGACAGACAGACAGACAGAGACAGAGACAAGACAGAAAAAAACATGAGAAATAGACACACAGACACAAGAGGAGCTGTAAAAAAAAAAAACACTGTAGAAACAGGTGAACCCGGGGTGGAGCAGCCGTCAGTCGCTAAACCGCACCGGCGCGGCGCGGCGCTCGCAAAGAGGATAGCACAAGTTGATCGATTGTGATGGGATATGAGCTGAACATGTGATTTGTCGGTTATGTTCTATGAGCATGTAAAGGATATAGTTCAAGTAGGTTGATATTTGGAAGTCGGACACGGAGCATTGGTCGTTGCCACATTCTAGTGGAAAACAGCGTTGAATCATGAATGCATGGAATAAACGAAAGGAATTATCACGCGTTGTGTTGACACTTCCTGCGCCCTAAGCGATAAACGCTTACTACTCACCCTTTTTAGTTCCATTAAAAGTTCGCGGTTTATGTCAATCTTCTTTGCAGACAACATCTTGATTGCAACTACGGTTCCCTGGAAAGGAAAAAATACGCTTTCAAAATCGATGACGGGTGGATGCTCAATCCTTTGTGACAATGCAATATAATGAGAACACTTCGTGATGAGATCCTCTCAGTCAAAAGGCTTCAAAATAGCTATGAAAGATTGGCATCATAATGGCGACTCAACGTTTTGCGCAACTTGATATCCGGAGAGCAATATCTATAGGTATATCTATATGTTCATGCCAAAAGGTTTCATTGGTATACGATGTCAGGCTACGCTGCGCATTCAGCCGAATACGATCCAGGATGAATGGGAGGCAGTCAGATTTAGTCCTCATACACGCCAGAAATGCAATAACGGGCAACGGCATTAGCCATCAATACATCCATGACAGGAAAGGGACTCCTTTTCAGCCTCCATAGGTCTAATATTAAGGACCAGGCGGTAATGCAGTATTACTTTGATAGAATAAAATGCTTCATAAAATGCTAAACGTATTGATCGGAGCGTTGTCAGCAAACAGTGTGTTACAGCTCCCAAAATTTGAAAAAGGTAATTTCTTTTCTGTGTCTAGCCTGTACCTTGAGTATGTTTTGATGGCAGTGTGGCCACAACGAACGAAACGCTCATACGTTCCTATATTATGACTGAGGAGGTCCATGAACATTGAACATTACTGTTAAATGTACTCAGACCTTGTTGAGATTTGTTGGATAAAGCCCTGGTAGGTGGTAGGCTTGAGATTGAGATGCATGCCTTCACATGCAGTCCATTGAAGTTAAATGCATGAGGAAATGTTGCCTATTTGAGTTTCTTTCTATCCTTCGCCTCGGATTGGCCTTTGGACTGCGAAATAACCCAGCGCTGCCCGCGTGTCACGCTGAGCAGACAGGTGCTGAACTTTCTGTCGCTAGGTGGCACCACCGGTCAGCACCTGTAGCTATGCTGTACCGCATGGCTTGCAAAAGAAACTGGGACTGGCCGCGGTCCGGCCAAACTGACATTATGGTCATTTCACGATGGAACCGTGCAAATTATATTAGCGGGAAGTTGCGCCCTAGTCACCTCCCACCTCCGCCAGCACAGGTCGTGCCTCAACACGGAACAGGCCGTGCCACCTAGGTGCGCCGGGGAGAACTACAGGTCGCATAGTGCCACCAGATGTCGCGCACACATGAGAGGCGCAGATATATAGATTTTAGATCGTGGGTGATATATTGTAACAGCGTTGATTTCTACCATGCATGTATTTTAGCAACTCAAAGCGTGGGCGCAGGCACTGGAACCACAACGGCTACCACAACTGCACGTAAGTATGTCCGACATACGACTTATGTTTGGACTCGAGGCAACGCAGCCCAAGCGGCCTTTTCCGTTAGGACGCCGAGCGACGGAGTGCGCGCAGCAATTTTTTTTGTTTTTTTTTGTCTCCCTCTGTTCTTTCTGGGGCGTCTTTCAGAAGAGCCCAGGAAGGGGCCAGGGGTCGAGGCCAGCCAATGCCAAAACACCGAACGTATAGCTCCGCCCGGACTCACTTAGCAACCTTAACGCTAAGCCGTTTTCACGGCGGCCATCTGGTACACATTTGGTGCACATCTGGTGCAGATCAGGTGCAGATTTGGTCAAATCAGGTTCAGTGTGTCTCTTAGTAGCTATCAGCTAGGGTTGCACTCATTGCTTATATGCCTGCTTTGCAGGGGCGGATCCAGAAAATCTCCAAGGGAGGGGCCATTAGAAACCAGGAGGCCCCCATAATCCCACCTGTTGGAGGCCCCATCTTCCCACTTGTTGGCCCCCCCAAAAAAACTGCGTCTATTGAGCTTATCTAGCTGTTCAGGCAACATCTCAACATGAATAAACGAATTATGAAATAAATGAACGAACGAGAAATAACTAAGTGGGTAGGTTAAAAAAAAAACTCATCGGATTTCGGCCACTTTATTTTCAGGAGGCCCCCTTTTCAGCTTTTTAACTTTTTATTTTATTTTTGAAAAAAAAAAAAATCGGCCAAGGGGGGCATGGCCCCCATGCCCCCCCCCTTGTATCCGCGCCTGCTGCTTTGTCATATTAACATAGAGCATCATCGATTAAAACACTGAAATAAATTCATAAAATAAAGATATTTTCTGCAAAAGAGATTAGGTGCAGATTTGGTCAAATTAGGTGCACTCGCCGGATAGCCCGTCGTGAAAACGGCTATTCTGAATGCGACGGGTGGGCCGTAACCAAACATTTTACACTGCACTTGCATACCTACCTATATCTCGAATAATGAAATAACTTCAGGACATTTAGCTAGCGAGGAGGTCAGCATCACCGATAAACTAATAAAATAACAGAAACCAGCGGGTAGAAGCCTTCTTCATACAGCTTTATTCTACATACTCAACTGCAATCTGAACGTGTGCTTATTCATACCAGGCGATGGTTTAATTGAGCACCCTTCGCAGAAGCACCAAGGCCGGTGGAGAAGAAAACGATTCTGAGATTGTAATAAAAAATGAATTCGGCCACGCTTGTTGATAAGTGATAATTAACCCGCGCCCGGCTGGGGGTCCTGGATTTCCACGCCCTGCTGGGGGGGGGGGGGTGTTTGAACACCCCCCTTCTAACTCGGCTCCTGGGCCACGTAGCGATACGCGGAAGGCGGCGTTCGAAAGAGCGTCAAAAATAATGAGGAAATCACTTCGGTCAATTTTTTGGTCAGGTCAAAGGTCAGGTCACCAGAGGTCATTAAAGGCAAAATTTCGCCGATTTCCAGGTCGAATGCCGACAATTTCCAAGAAGCCAACGCATAACTCGGGAACCAATAGAGCTACAGCGCCGCGGAAAAGCGCATTCGATAGCCCTATTAGCGCCCTTTCTGAGTAATTTCCTCAGATTTGACCTAACGTCAACGGTTTTGCCTGCAGGGGGCAAAAATTGCAAAAATAGTCGATTTTTTCGGAAACAGTTTTTCGGCAATAACTTTTGACCCAAGCCTTGTACGAGCTTACTTTTACCGGCATCTTGTTCCTCTCGTCAAGACGCATCGAATGAACTATAACTTGACCTTGAAAGGTCAACTTGAAAATTTGACCTCAGGTCAAGGTCATGACCTGACCGGAAAGGGTCATGTTGCATATCAGTCGATCCGTATCGTCGAGCTGAACACATCTAAGGCGTTTTCATCGCTCTAGCATGCCTCCATCAAAAGTTATTTGCGAAAAACCGTTAGATACCATTCGTGACCTAAGATGACCTCAGGGCATAAACAGGGGTCACGGACACCATTTTCATGTTCAGTGTGTCTAAACCACTTGTAATTCAGTGTTTGGGAGTGTTTATAATGTCTTTCGTCCAAAAGAGGCGCATTTCAATTTTCTCCCATTGACTTATAATGGGGAGGTCGCAAAATTGACCTGACCTTAGGTCATCGATATCAAAATTCTGAGATATACATTTTGTACATGCTATTGCTCTTAGCAATCGCTGAAAGTTTCAAAGCGATCGGTCACTCGGTGTAGCTATGACAGACATTGAAACTTTTTATGAGGTGAGGTCACTTAAAGTGACCTGGTGACCTGACCTTGAATGACCTTGGTCTGAAATTTTCACAACATGTGTAGAATTGATGTATGATAAGGTGTACCAAAAACGGCGGCGCTCCGCGCCGCCGTTTTTGAGATATTCGCGAAAAACCACAAGGGGGGGTGTTCAAACACCCCCCAGCAGGGCGCGGGTTAAAAAGGAGGCTTGCTTGGTGTGAAGTTTTTATATCGAACAAAAAGAGAAAAGCGAAGATAAATGAAATTATACCTGTAGCTCATCTAGTTCAACGCTCCGCCGTTCGAGTAGTTCTAGTAGACCCAGTTACAGAATCTGGACTCACCAGGAAATACGCTATCTAAAAATACGTGTCCATGCGTTACGTAGCTTAAAGGGACTATCCCACCTTCTAAAATGTTGTTAAAACCAGTTAAATTGTGCCCGACTTTATAGATTGGATGACCAGGAACACGGTTCTGGCATTTATTTTTCATTAAACATCTTAGGCTTCCCATATTCCAAACACAAACTTTCAAATATGTGACGTCACAGCCCAAAATTACCTCCTTCCCCAGGCCACATTACTGTCATAAAGCTGATTCTTCTTACTCTGTAGGCACCACAACAAAGTTCAGACCAAGTTTTAAGCGATTTTTCAACGAACAAACCCCTTTAAATCAGAATGACTAAACGAGGTGACGTCACACTAACGGTCGCTCCATGTTGAAGATAGGGCCTTGTACAAGGCCCATTTTCAAATGAAGGGAACGAATTTCTTCAACACCAAGAGGCCGCGGGGGTTGCAACCTAGATAGATAGTGGTTTTCTGAACCTCGCCGCAAACTTGGCTATCTCAACTCAAACCCCATGTTAAAGGTGGGATAGTCCCTTTAAGTAACATTATTTTTATCTGACTTTTAGAACTTGCTCTGGCCGAAATGTCGTCGAATTCAGATTTTAGCCGCCTTCTCCTTAGCCTGAAAACTCATTCACTCACTCCTCGCAGAGCACACAAATTCTTGTGTATCCCTTTTAGACCAGGACCTCGAAAACAAAGGCGTCTCCCCTCCGAATTCCGACCGCAATGAAGGTGCTCCTACCAGCCCGAAGTTCCATTAAGGCACGCGCTAACTTATTTAGCCGTCAATTTCTGGCTGCTGGCTCGCTCGGGGACCGATGTGGGTGTGGGTGGTCCCTGTGGACTGATTACGGACGCCACTCGAGCCCGGGGGATCATGGGGCGACCCAAGAGTGGTCGGTCAGCCCTGAGCCCGTCAGAGACCGTATGGGTACTGCTGGTATGGAATGCGAGTGGGGAAGCTATGTGAAGCTATCCCTGTAGATGCTGAGCTATTTCTCTATCCAAGTACCCAAGACTTTCTTGGAGAGGGGTTTGGTGCCAAACAACCACCAGTCGTTATCAGCAGCTTTTGCCAATTGTCAGGGAACTCAGATTTGTTTTTCAATAGAAACACACAATTCTAATATATGTTTT